TGCTGGATAGAATTCTAGAATGAAGATAAAAATAGTATAAATACTAGAGAATATCAGAAATTTCGATCGTATTAGTAAAATTTTTTGCTTTTGAATTTAAAATACATATTATCATACTATGAGTACACCGAGTATTCAATGTATTGCCTATCGACGAAAACTAAATGCCGGCGGTACTACGTCGAACTACAGAGATATATCCAAGAAACGACATCGCTAGATTCACGAAATATTACGTAAACGATTAGTCGAACTAAAAACCGAAATGTTTATTTGTAACAAATGTCGTAATGTTATGTACAAACAACAAAAAGGTAAGCGAAATTCTATTCTCAAAATACTATTGATCAGAATGCAAACGATAACGAGAGTAATTCTTCTGAAGAAGACTGTGTATCACTCAATTATGTGAGTTATTATGGGAATGATACTAACTATTGTGTGTTATGTTTGAAAACGGTTACAAACATGATTGATTTATCTGATAAAGAGAGAATGAACTTGCTCACTTACCATAACTTGTATGCACCTGCTGGATGTCGTCGTTGCGCAGTTAAATGTGGAAAAACCATCAAAAAGACCACGTCAGTCAACGGGAATTTCTACTACAAAAGCATCCAATCTTATCATAGAAATTATACAAGAACTTAAACGTGTAAGCCTTTGTTTGTAAGCCCGTTTTGTTTAAAATACAAATAGAATTGATAAAAGTGAAAGATATTATGGCAGAGCGGAAGCCGACACCGTATCTAAGACAGAAAACGGCCATTCCTCCTCCCGTCGCTAGATCTTTTGAGGTTTTTGCGTTTTGTAGGTTAAAACTACTCCGTTACTTGACGAAACTGATTTATCGTTTTGCGATCAAGATTACATTGCGTGGGCCGGGTGGAATAAAAACCAACTAAAAGATATGGAGCTCATCATATCGACCAAATTGCAGAACTCCAAACATCGTACAGTGTTTAATGCCATATGTGTATTTTGGATGAAGTTAAAAACAAACCTAGCGTTTCGTCAGATCGGAACTCTATTCAAAATTGACACGGGTGAAGAAAATATAAGAAAAAGAGTAGCCGACACATTTCGCTCAGTCGCCAGCGCTTTGCATCAACTATTAACTCCAAATCACTTAGGCATCACACATTTGACAAGGGAAGCAGCCCTGGTACACCATACGGCTTACACCCGCACTTTTTTCGGAGATCAACTGTCACTTATTTGGGATGGAACTTACTTTTATATGTACAAAAGTAACGATCATAATCTGCAACGGGGAACATTCTCTGATCAAAAATGTCGGCATTTGGTAAAATTCATGGTCTCAGCTGTGCCAGACGGATATATAGTAGATACTCTTGGCCCATTTTATGGTAAAGACAACGATGCTAACATAGCTCTGTATATCCTTGATATGCTAGATGGATTACAGCCGTTGTGTGAAGATGGTGATATACAAATAGTCGACAGGGCATTTCGAAATGCAGCAGGCTTTTTCATACAGCTAGGATATGATGTGAAAACGCCTGGGCTTCTCGAAAAATGAGCTACCCAACTAACCATCGAAGATGTCAATGCCGCCAGATTCGTGACAAAATGTCGTTGGCCGATTGAGGCAATTCACGGAAGACTCAAGAAGTGGAGGTTTTTCTCGGAAAGAATTGATAACTCGTTTCTATCTTTACTGAATATACTGGTGCGCGTTACAACAGCCTGTTTAAACAAGTATCGGACGATGTTGTATGATGCCACATCAAATGAACATATACAATTGGCCGAAAAAATGCTGGAATTACAAGATCGCAGAAATCAACTTAAACAGCAGATAAATTCTTCAGAATTATCATTTCGAAGAAAATGGATAAAAATGACAGATACTGATATTAAATTTCCACAACTTAGTCTCGATTTCTTACGTGAATATACCTGCGGAAGCTATCAACTGAAACAAAATAAAGCTTACGCTAAATCGTATCTGGATGAACACGGTAGTTTTGAAGTTGAAATATCTCCAGATACCGATAATATACTTCGCTGTCGTATACAAAGCCGACATCATAATAGTGTCGAATATCAGCTTGGTATAGAATATGACCAGGAAGATGATGATAATCCAATAGTAGATAAGTTTTGTCAGTGTAAGAGCGGCAATCGTACTATTGGATATTGCGCCCATGTCTCCACTGTATTATGGTATTTGGGATTCGCAAGATATACCGAATGAAAACCACCGCCACATGGAAGAAAACTCAATGAAGAAGTAACTGTTTGTCGTTAGAATTAAGCATCTGTTGGCGTATGAACGAGGACTGATTCACTTAACCTAATATTCCCTTAAAATGATCTCGATAGATACGTTTCTTTTCATGATATAAAACAAGATAACAACTAACTACAAAATGAATAAACACGTGTATATATATAAATGAAAACGATGAGAGGACGGCGGACTAGTATAAGGAACTATAGTCACTATATCTACAAGAGTGAATAAGTGACAAGACTAAATAAATCCAATAAAATAGAAAAAGGAATGAAACAATAAATATGACTGTGCACATGTTTATGGTTAGCAGTGTTCAAACAGAGAAAATTCATACCATAAATACAAATATACTTGAAAGATTACTTAAGACTGTGACTCAAAAGTCAAACATTCGCCTATTTTCTGCACTGATGCGTATAGTATATATAAAATGAGTCTGCCTTTGTAATATAAACTGAATCTCAAGGTTGCATTTCGTTCAGTATTCAACACTCTATAAAACTACATGTGACTTGGCCGGTAAATGTATTCAGATTGGTTCTAGCTTTTACTGAAAACGCAAACACAAAGAGGTTCCTATGGTTATGAAACACTGTACTGCATATATAACACCCATACGCTTCTTTTGCATATCTTTAATGACTGGTCCCACCAATCTAGATATTCTAACTAGCTCAGTTTGTAGAGAATTTCACGGGCTATCCACTGATATTCTTTTGAAAAATATATAGCTTCCAGTCAAGATATTCTAACTAGCTCAGTTTGTAGAGGATTTCACGGGCTATCTAATTGTGTATAATTGGAAACGTGTGTCCCTTTTTGGCAAGATTTTCTGGTTAATGGCCTTTCGACGTTCAATATCGTCCTGTATACTATATGTAAAATAAGTCTAAATACTTTCCTTTGTAACATAAGCTGAATCTAAAGGCTGCATTTTGTTCAGAATTCAACACTCTATAAAACTACATGTGTCTCGGTCGGTAAATGTGTGTTTTTCGAGAGGCAGGCTCCGTCAAGTTCCTCCTTAGGGTTTCTTGTCCCCAAAAAGCTTTTTTGTGTTTTGACCATATGTATAATACTCCGTCCGACTCAATTTTGTTCGTAGATTACGAATATGGCGTTAAAACTGGTTGATAAGTAAATCAGACCAGAAAAAACCAAGTTTAAGTCCAAAATATACCCTA